AATGAATTTGCTATTGGTATTTCTACTAGGGAAGTTTCTAGTTCTATACTTTAAAGATAATAATGTGTGGCCTTGTTAATTTTTATGTGCTTAAAACTAAGTACATGAAATAGTTAAATAAAAAGTTTAAAGCATTTTTTCTTAAAACATTTAAATGTTACCTTAAAGCATTTTGATATTGATTAAAATGTTTACAACTTAAGTGATAATCCTGTACATTCATGTAAATAAACTGTTGTAATTTATCTTATGTATTTTTTTAAAAATGTGCCAACTGTATACTGTATAAGAAATCCCTAAACACTTATAGATGTTGCTGTAGCATCTTTATAGCTTCCAGTTTTACTTTCAAAGGAAAATCAATGTATAGTTTAAATATTTTAAATGACATTTCATGTGGCCTTTTTTAATTTAATAAATGACAATCATTTAAAATAACTGATAAGTGTTTTCAATTGTTTCTTGACTATGATGGATAGAAGTACTTCTGCAGCAACAGATATAAGCTCTATTGTATTCAATCTCTTTATTTTAAGTTTTCTGTTTACAATAATTTTCAGGATGAACTAAGAAATTCCAATTTAAGTTTTATCTTCCATGGTTCAAGTTTTTTATTTGTTCCTATCTGCTTTATGTCTTAATGCAAAAGCATTTTTAACTGCATGTATTAATGGACATTTTACTATTACACTGTTTCCTGTATTTTTAAATATATTTTTTTGGCAAATATGTCTTTATATTTTTTTAAAATCAGGTATAAAATGGTACTAGGAAACCAACCTGTTTTCAGAAGTGAAACTCTAAAATTATAAAATTATAGCTATCACTAATTTTAAATGTTTTTTATTCTTTCATAAATTAAATGCATTAGTTAAAACTATTTTAAATATGGTTAAATGGGGCAAATGAATGTTTAACTCAGAAATAACTGAATCAGTAAATAATAAATTAATATCTGAGATAAATGTCCATTTGTTTAGGAAATTAAATTTGTTTTGATTTTTTTTAAGAAGCAGCCAAATTTACATAAAACTCAGATATATAGATTCTGTTTCTATACTTTACAACATGAATGTGTGTGTGTATAAAATTGACCTTGTTAAATTTGTACTTACAGTTCTGTCAAATGACACAAGTTGCTATTTGGTAGATATCAAACTTGACATAACATGTTCATTTATCTTTTGTTTGCTCAATGATTTACATTACAAAGAATTGAAAGAGATCAATCTGATCAGCAAGGAAACTAATTAAGCCATGTTAGATTTAAAATTAAAATACATACATTACAGATAAACAAATGTATTGCAATATCTATTTTCAATATTTTATATCATAAGAGAGGGAAATGTAAAATAAAAAATGTATTTAAGTATTAGAAAAAGCTGTATGACAAGCTTCAACAAAAGATCTATACATGCTAAACAAAATAAACACAAGAAGTACAAAAGATTCAAATTATTTGTCAAACAAGCTGTGTGAAGTCTTCCTTTCAAACTATGAAAATTCTAAAGGTTAACATAGTGTGACAGTATCTTGAATACTGAACCCTCAGTGTGGCTTTTAAAAAATAACCTTATAAACACAACAAAAGATGTATTTACTTATTTGCTTCCTTGTTTTCCATTATATTTTTTCATAAGACAAAACTGTGATTAAAACATTTCTCTTGTAAATAGATTTTAATTAACATTATGATACCTATTTGCAAATACTGAATGTGTGCTCTTTGAAGTTTATAATGTAAAATCTTTACTAACAAACATAATAATTGTGATACAAAATGTATGGTAAATAAGTAACCCACATTTTCAAAAAGAGTCATTGTTTATAATTACAATAGTCATAATTTCAAGCTGGACTGTATAAACAATTTTTTTTTAAAAATACATCAGCTGTAACAAAAGTGCTTTTGATTAGTATCTGTTTTTAAAAGAATACACAATTTTAAAACATAAATAATATCTAATGAAATCTTGTTTTCTTTGTCAAAATTATGTGTGTATTCTAAAAAAATATTAACTACAAGGAAATAACTAATTAAGCCATATATTTCTTCTAGAAAACAGATGTTTGAATTTCGACCACTAGGAAGTTAGAATTAACTTTCAAATAACATCAAAAATTAATGTGGGTTCTGGAATGCGAGTTGGAATGTTGTAATGTAAAGATAAACAAGCAAAATGTTCTGTATAGTACTAAAAGAGTGAATGCACTTGGTGTTTAATTTATTACTCTATAGAAATAGTTCTCATCTTTAACTGTTTTTATATTATCATTCAGTATTTATTCATTATACATAGGTCATTTATCAAGCGAATAACAACAGTATAGTTTTGATTATTTTAAAATTATTTTTACTCAACACAAAATCTGGTTAGTCTAGAGTCTAGCATGTACTTACTTTTTACTCTTAGGTCTTCTAATTTATGTTAGTCATGTCATTATTTACCCTAGTTTGCAAACAGGCAAGAAAATGTTTGATTCAGCACAAAATAAAATGTGTAGCTTAGGGCAATAGGACACCTTTGTAAACAAAAATAAGTTGATTAAATTTAAAACTTCTGACTTGTGTGAGGGACTGAGGTCACTGCATAGTCTTTTAGCTTTTTTGGATATTCAACATGAATATATTTACATCAGCTCTTAATAGGGCTTATATAAGAACTTGTGTAAATTTGTATTCAACTGTTTTGCTATCATAATGTTATTTCATTATTAAAACAGATGAAAGGAGCAAAAAAAAAAGAAAAAAATCTTTTATAGATTGTTTTTTTTGCTTTCTGGGTTTCTGTTTGATTTCTTTTCATGTTTGGTTGGTTTGTTGGTTTGGTTGTTTTAATTGTGTGTCATACAGTTTCTGTGCCTTGACATTGTGTTTATGTTCTGTTTTATTCTACTGTAGCTTATGATGGATTTAATATTGTTTTTATGTTCTGTTTTATTCTAACCCAACTTTGTTGAATTTGGTGGTGTTTATTTTGATTTGTTATATTTTACTCCAACCTTATATTGTCAAACTTATCTTGTGAGCTATCAACTAATTTACGATTTGCCCAACTTCAAGTCTGCATGAGCTTTCATATTTGTTTATTGTCATATGTGTGGTTCTCTTGTTGTTAAAGTTTTCCATAAAAAAGAATATGCAGCATATCACACCATTGGAAATGATGAAAAAACATGTGAGTGACAAAGTGATACAAAGGTTAACTTTTGTCTGCCTGAACCTCCTGTGTCAGAAAACATTCTAAAGAAATTATAGCGATCAGGGGTGTGAACGTTCAACACAGACGTAGGCCTAGAACAAAATCAACCTATCAAGTTTGTTGTCAACTCTTTAAGTAGGCCTAGAACAAAATCAACCTATCAAGTTTGTTGTCAACTCTTTAAGTAGGCCTAGAACAAAATCAACCTATCAAGTTTGTTGTCAACTCTTTAAGTAGGCCTAGAACAAAATCAACCTATCAAGTTTGTTGTCAACTCTTTAAGTAGGCCTAGAACAAAATCAACCTATCAAGTTTGTTGTCAACTCTTTAAGTAGGCCTAGAACAAAATCAACCTATCAAGTTTGTTGTCAACTCTTTAAGTAGGCCTAGAACAAAATCAACCTATCAAGTTTGTTGTCAACTCTTTAAGCAATGGAATCATTAATCAGATTGAAGTAAGAATGATCCTTGTAAAGGACATTAATACATTCGTGTTATTTTATTAAAACTAAAACGGACATTTACATAGGTAGTCGTATTAAATTAACATGATGTTTTAATGATTGGCAAAAATTTTACCACACTTCATCTAGTTTGTGAATGCCGTGAAAACTGGTTGAATCCATGTCCAATAAATCTAAAAGTTGTCGTCCATTTTATACCTTGTAAGTGGGCTAATTGGAAATCTAAGGATCTATCCCAGGGAGGCAAGGCAGGGAGGAATATTTCTAACGCTTCAGTGGTTTTATGCAGTGGTTTGCTGAATGAATTTAGTTTTCTTTTTTTATTCATTAATAAACTATTGATTTCTTTTTCTCTTTCTCTCTCTCTCGCTCTCTCTCTCTCTCTCTCTCTCTCTCTCTCTCTCTATATATATATATATATATATATATATATATATATATATATAGGGCCTATATATATATATATACATATTCACATGCAAAAAAACACGAACACAATCATTTCTTGAAAAATAATTTTGTATTCCGAGACGCCAAGAATAATACTGGGAGGTCGACGCCACATAATACAAAACCACAAAAGCATGTGACGGGGTAGATAGAGTCAGTTGGTGTAATAATAGTATCAGTAGATAGAGTCATGTAGTGTATTAATAGTATCAGTAGATAGAGTCATGTAGTGTATTAATAGTATCAGTAGATAGAGTCATGTAATGTATTAATAGTATCAGCAGATAAAGTCAGTTGGTGTAATAATAGTATCAGCAGATAGAGTCAGTTGGTGTAATAATAGTATCAGTAGATAGAGTCATGTAGTGTATTAATAGTATCAGTAGATAGAGTCATGTAGTGTATTAATAGTATCAGTAGATAGAGTCATGTAATGTATTAATAGTATCAGCTGATAGAGTCAGTTGGTGTAATAATAGTACCAGTAGATAGAGTCAGTTGGTGTAATAATAGTATCAGTAGATAGAGTCATGTTGTGTAATAATAGTACCAGTAGATAGAGTCATGTAGTGTAATAATAGTACCAGTAGATAGAGTCAGTTGGTGTAATAATAGTACCAGCAGATAGAGTCATGTAGTGTAATAATAGTATCAGTAGATAGAGTCATGTAGTGTAATAATAGTACCAGTAGATAGAGTCAGTTGGTGTAATAACAGTATCAGTAGATAGAGTCATGTAGTGTAATAATATTATCAGTAGATAGAGTCAGTTGGTGTAATAATAGTACCAGCAGATAGAGTCATGTAGTGTAATAATAGTATCAGTAGATAGAGTCATGTAGTGTAATAATAGTACCAGTAGATAGAGTCAGTTGGTGTAATAACAGTATCAGTAGATAGAGTCATGTAGTGTAATAATATTATCAGTAGATAGAGTCAGTTGGTGTAATAATAGTACCAGCAGATAGAGTCATGTAGTGTAATAATAGTACCAGTAGATAGAGTCATGTAGTGTAATAATAGTACCAGTAGATAGAGTCAGTTGTTGTAATAATAGTATCAGCAGATAGAGTCAGTTGGTGTAATGATAGTATCAGTAGATAGAGTCAGTTGGTGTAATAATAGTATCAGTAGATAGAGTCAGTTGGTGTAATAATAGTATCAGTAGATAGAGTCATGTAGTGTATTAATAGTACCAGTAGATAGAGTCATGTAGTGTTATAATAGTATCAGTAGATAGAGTCATGTAATGTATTAATAGTATCAGTAGATAGAGTCATGTAGTGTAATAATAGTATCAGTAGAGTCAGTTGGTGTAATAACAGTACCCGTAGATAGAGTCAGTTGGTGTAATAATAGTATCAGTAGATAGAGTCAGTTGGTGTAATAATAGTATCAGTAGATAGAGTCAGTTGGTGTAATAATAGTATCAGTAGTTTGAGTCAGTTGGTTTTACGCCTTACGGTGTAGAAAAAGCGCACAGAAAAACAATGTGCAAAGGAAAATTGCGCACAAAAAAATCGCGCACACAGAAATAATGCGCAACCAGAAAATTGCGTTTGCAGAAAAAAAGCTTAACAACTTAATTGCGCATTTTCCCGTTGAGCATTTATCTGGGGACCTATAAGAAAATTTTAAAAAAAGATATGTATGTTTGAACTTATTAATAAATGTAGGAGCTGGAAACAGATTCAGTTGATTTTATTCTATCACTTTACCTCAATAATAGCATTGAAGATATGACAGTTTTTTAATATTGGAAAATGATATCGAAACGTGTTTTATCAAGTAAATCATATGACACACACTTACTCCATTGCCGCCCATTGATTGATCGTGTGGACGTTAGTTTCTTCTCTTACTCTCTCATGTTTTAGTCCTCGAACAACCGGTGTCAAATGTGGAATGCTGCCCGGAACGTATGTTTGAAACCCTCTTTAATACCAGATATTCAACCTCATACTTTTGGAATCAAACATACAAATCTTAAAAGCCTTTAAAAATTGAAGAGTAAAATGATGACACAAGTAATGAGCAAGTTGGAAAATGTTTCCATTTCAAATCTTGGGAAAGAAGTTTTGAATTTGACATAGAATTTATGAAATAAAAAGTACCTGAACACAGAGTTTCGTCCAATCATCTAAGCTTCTAATTAATTCGTTCAATTAATTCGTTCATTTTGATTTATTTTTTAATTGTCAGCCATACTACTAAATGTGTTGTTCACTTCTCTGAGATTTTTTTTACTGCCAGAGATTTTAGTCAATGTGTTTTCTTCCACTAGCTCCTGTTGCCATCCATCGCCAAACCTCAACCACTGGTCTGTTGTCTGCCGTTAAGCTGTCCAGTTTAGGCGAGCTTCCGGCCAGAAGCAGTGGCCACTCGACCCCCACGTCAGACGAGCTAGAGGACGAGGTCTTTAAACCCAGCAGGGCTTGCAGCAAACAGCAGGCTCAGGATGGACACTCTGAACCCAAGTTTAAACGTTTGGAGAATTTACCAGAGGCGGCGTCCTTTTCGTTTTCAGACGAGCAAGATAACGTCAACAAACAGGTGTCATAATAGGTGCACCACGGGTTGATAGGTGCACCAAAAGTTGAGTGGTGTACCAAGTGTTGATAGGTGCACCAAGTACTGATAGGTGCACCAAAAGTTGATAGGTGCACCAACTGTTGATAGGTGCACCACGTGTCTATAGGTGCACCAAAAGTTGATAGGTGCACCAAGTGTTGATATGTGCACCAACTGTTGATAGGTGAACCGAGTGTTGATAGGTGCACCACGTGTTGATTGATGCACCAAAAGTTGATAGGTGCATCACATGTTGATAGGTGCACATATTTGTGCAACGTGTGTAGGTAGACCAAGTGCACTCACAAAGATGACTCTGCTTTGTTTACATCACATTTAATAAAGCTGATTTGTCGTAGTGCTACAGAATTAATTATAACTAAGGGTATGACTACCGGCCCAAAACGGTGTCATTAAACATTTGTAAATATTTTAACTGTGATCTTTTAATGTCATTTTCTCTTTTAAATGTAACATTAAAAAATGTGATCAAACATATAGGCTATCTACTTTTCTCATAACACGAACAACGTGTCTAAAACCTGCGAGTTTTTGTTTAGTTTTGAAATGAGCCGCTTCAGGTTTTCTTGTTACATCCACATGTAGGCCTATTCGTCTGTTAGATCTATGTAAGGCCTACTACAGCTGTGTACTACAAAAGCTTAACGAGTCTTCGAGCCTAAATGTACTGCACAAGGTTTTTGGTTCATTCTTGATCGTATTGTGCTATGCTGTATTTCCTGTTTACAATACGTCTTTGGTTTGATAGCAGAGTTTTTTCCAGGCTTCTCTTTGGTAAAGGGGGAGGGGGGGGCAGATCTCCCCCTCCTCCTCACCGCCCCCCACCCCCCCCCCCCCCACACAAAAAACATCTACCACCTCACTCCGTCCCCTCTTGAACGAAATAGAATTTATGTAGATAATATACACGCCTCCCACATCGCCCTCCCCCAAAAAAATATTTCAAGTTCCCATCTCCCCCCCCCCCCCTCACCCCACCCGAGAAAAAAGTCTGGACGACTGTTTGATAGGGTTTCATTTCGAATACATTCCTGATTAATAGGCTGTAAGAAAAGCATTTTAAACGTAACTGTTTATATTACTGTAAAGATATTTATTTATTACGATTATACAGGCGTAGGAAAGAGCTTCCTTTGGGGTTGTGTGAGTTTTGTGATTGTCTATGTATTGGTGAGTTCTTGTAGGTGTTTTGTGATTGTTTTACAAATGTGTCAGTTTGTTTGTATGTTTGTGTTATAAGAAATGCAAGTAGGCCTACCTGTGTAGAAAGGTTTAGGTGGGTAGTTAAGGACAGACCTGCGGTATTGCGAACAATCATTATGGTTGAACGTTAACATACATTTGTGTATAGTGGTTATAATTTAAAACAAGAAGTTTTAGATAAAAATGTTTTTTTTTGTTCGTTTAGAGGAAATTGAAGATTTTTATGTACAATAGCATAGTTTCTTCCAGACTTTTTTGGGGTAGGGGTGGGCTTTGATATTTTCTGGGGGGTGGGGTGGGGGCGGACTACATTTTCCGGGAGGGGGTGCAGAGGCGGACAATGGTAAAATATGTTTTCTATATAAATTCCATCTCGTTCGGGGGGAGGGGGGGGGGGTTAGACTATCTTTGAATAGATGCCTGGAAGAAACTATTTAAGCCTACAGTAGTCTGAATTTAATTTTGAATGTTGCAAATGTAAATTTCTCTATTTTGTACTATCAATCAATCTTTATTGTATAGAATGCAAATTTGATTGCTGTATCCTTTACAATAGCTGTTGGCTAAATTATCAGTTGGTAGATATTGACATTATAATGTTTCTGTATATACACACACCGTTTTTGCATAATATTTGCTGTATTGTATAAGCAAATAAATTTCAATTCATGTGAAAATGACAGACCCAAACGAAATGGTTGTTTTATTCTTTGCATTTCCTTTTTATTTCTCCTTTGTTAATAAGGGTTGTTTTAAAAATGACATCACACGCATGTTAATTTTTGTTAGTGTTATATATATATATATATATATATATATATATATATATATATATATATATATATATATAATATAAAAGAGCTCCCCTGTCTGCCCCATGACAAAAGTACCATGTTACTATGGACATGATGGGCCACTATAATCTTTCTCTAAATCGAATCAGTCGCTTACATGGGGGCTCCGACTGTTGAGTGACCGGGAGCGCCCCGGGTGACAACATTAGTTTCAAAGATCACACTACAAGGCGAAAATTAGCCCCCACTAGGGCTAGGGCTAGGGCTAGGGCTAGGGCTAGGGTTAGGGTTAGGGTTAGGGTTAGGGTTAGGGTTAGGGTTAGGGTTAGGGTTAGGGTTAGGGTTAAGGTTAGGGTTAGGGTTAGGGTTAGGGTTAGGGTTAGGGATAGGGTTAGGGTTAGGGTTAGGGTTAATGTTTGGGTTAGGGGTAGGGTTAGGGTTAGGGTTAATGTTAGGGTTAGGGTTAGGGTTAGGGTTAAGGTTAGGGTTAGGGTTAAGGTTAGGGTTAGGGTTAGGGTTAGGGTTAGGGTTAGGGTTAGGGTTAGGGTTAGGGTTAGGGTTAGGGTTAATGTTTGGGTTAGGGTTAGGGTTAATGTTTGGGTTAGGGGTAGGGTTAGGGTTAATGTTTTGGTTAGGGTTAGGGTTAATGTTAGGGTTAGGGTTAGGGTTGGGGTTAGGGTTAGGGTTAGGGTTAGGGTTAGGGTTAGGGTTAATGTTAGGGTTAGGGTTAGCGTTAGGGTTAGGGTTAGGGTTATTGTTAGGATTAGGGTTAGCGTTAGGGTTAGGGTTGGGGTTAGGGTTAGGGTTAGGGTTAGGGTTAGGGTTAGGGTTATTGTTAGGATTAGGGTTAGCGTTAGGGTTAGGGTTGGGGTTAGGGTTAATGTTTGGGTTAGGGTTAGGGTTAGGTTAATTTTATGGTTAGGGTTAGGGTTAATGTTAGGGTTAGGGTTAATGTTTGGGTTAGGGTTAGGGTTAGGGTTGGGGTTAGTGTTAATGTTTGGGTTAGGGTTAGGGTTAGGGTTAGGGTTAGGGTTAGGGTTAGGGTTAGGGTTAGGGTTAGGGTTAGGGTTAGGGTTAGGATTAGGATTAGGATTAGGGTTAGGGTTAGGGTTAGGATTAAGGTTAGGGTTTGGGTAATGGTAATGGTAATGGTTATGGTTTTTGTTTTGGTTTTGGTTACGGTTATGGTTATGGTTATGGTTATGGTTAGGGTTAGGGTTAGGGTTAGCGTTAGGGTTAGGGTTAGGGTTAAGGTTAAGGTTAAGGTTAAGGTTAAGGTTAAGGTTAAGGTTAGGGTTAGGGTTAGGGTTAGGGTTAGGGTTAATGTTTGGGTTAGGGTTAGGGTTAGGGTTGGGGTTAGTGTTAATGTTTGGGTTAGGGTTAGGGTTAGGGTTAGGGTTAGGGTTAGGGTTAGGGTTAGGATTAGGATTAGGATTAGGATTAGGATTAGGGTTAGGGTTAGGGTTAGGGTTAGGGTTAGGATTAAGGTTAGGGTTTGGGTAATGGTAATGGTAATGGTTATGGTTTTTGTTTTGGTTTTGGTTACGGTTATGGTTATGGTTATGGTTAGGGTTAGGGTTAGGGTTAGGGTTAGCGTTAGGGTTAGGGTTAGGGTTAAGGTTAAGGTTAAGGTTAAGGTTAAGGTTAGGGTTAGGGTTAGGGTTAGGGTTAGGGTTAGGGTTAGGGTTAATGTTTGGGTTAGGGGTAGGGTTAATGTTTGGGTTAGGGTTAGGGTTAGGGTTAGGGTTAGGGTTAGGGTTAGGGTTAGGGTTAATGTTAGGGTTAGGGTTAGGGTTAGGGTTGGGGTTAGGGTTAATGTTTGGGTTAGGGTTAGGGTTATTGTTAGGATTAGGGTTAGGGTTAGGGTTAAGGTTAGGGTTTGGGTAATGGTAATGGTAATTGTTATGGTTATGGTTTTTGTTTTGGTTTTGGTTACGGTTATGGTTATGGTTATGGTTATGGTTATGGTTATGGTTATGGTTATGGTTATGGTTATGGTTATGGTTATGGTTATGGTTATGGTAACGGCAAGTGTTAGGGTTAGTTTTATGATTATATTTAGGACCTAACCTTAATCTGAGCCATAACCATAACCATAACCAAAACCATAACAAGATAACTTGTACCATTACAGATAGATTGAAGAAATTTCATTTATAAGTATATCAAATTAGTAGATCCGTATCAACTTTTCAGCTATTTCCGATAACCGGAAATGGAACTTTTTCTACTTTTAAAAGCTTGTTATTAAAACGTTTTTTATGAAAAAAAAATTTATAAGCTTTTATTAAACTCACTTCCTCTGTCGTCAGTCGTCAGTCTGTCTAGATCGAAACGCCGGAGTGAAAATTCGGACACTTCTACTTGACCGATACGGTTCACACTTGTCACGTGGGTCAAGACATGAAGACAACGCAATCTGAAATTAAATTTGACTAATTGGATGCCTAATTATTTTTTTATGAATTAGTTAAAATTTGGACCGAATTAGTAGGCATGTCTATCCAACCACACAACACGCGTCAGCACGTTCAATAGCTTCGCCATCACGTTCAGTAGGCGCGCAATGGTTTTTAGTCATGAAACTCTATTGTAAATAAAACAGGTAAAGTACTGATTTTTTTTTCATTAAAAACGTTTTAATAACAAGCTTTTATGTAATAATGCAGTAAAAAGTAGAAAATAAATTATTATTATAAAAAAAAAATTAATTTTAAAAAAATAACAAAAATTTTAATTATGTCTGAAAATTATTTATATTTAGTCCTTTAGCACTTACTTCCCTTTGATAAATTAGGAAAACACAATTACTTCCCATTATAAAAACATTGCATTAGTGGAAAATAATTTACTTTTTACAAGCTTTTATTTAACTCGCTTCCTCTGTCGTCAGTCGTCAGTCTGTCTAGATCGAAACGCCGGAGTGAAAATTCGGACACTTCTACTTGACCGATACGGTTCACACTTGTCACGTGGGTCAAGACATGAAGACAACGCAATCTGAAATTAAATTTGACTAATTGGATGCCTAATTATTTTTTTATGAATTAGTTAAAATTTGGACCGAATTAGTAGCCATGTCTATCCAACCACACAACACGCGTCAGCACGTTCAATAGCTTCGCCATCACGTTCAGTAGGCGCGCAATGGTTTTTAGTCATGAAACTCTATTGTAAATAAAACAGGTAAAGTACTGATTTTTTTTTCATTAAAAACGTTTTAATAACAAGCTTTTATGTAATAATGCAGTAAAAAGTAGAAAATAAATTATTATTATAAAAAAAAATTAATTTTTAAAAAATAACAAAAATTTTAATTATGTCTGAAAATTATTTATATTTAGTCCTTTAGCACTTACTTCCCTTTGATAAATTAGGAAAGCACAATTACTTCCCATTATAAAAACATTGCATTAGTGGAAAATAATTTACTTTTTACAAGCTTTTATTTAACTCGCTTCCTCTGTCGTCAGTCGTCAGTCTTTCTGTCTAGATCGAAACGCTGGAGTGAAAATTCGGACATTTCTACTTGACCGATACGATTCACATTTGGCACATAGGTCAAGACATGAAGACAATGCAATCTGAAATTAAACTTGACTTAATTGGATGCCTAATTAATTTTTTATGAATTAATTAAAATTTGGACCGAATTAATAGGCATGTCTATCCAACCACACCACACGCGTCATCACGTTCAATAGCTGCGCCATCACGTTCAGTAGGCGCGCAATGGTTTTTATTCATGTAACTCTATTGTA